ACACGGACTCGTGAAAATAGTAGTCAAAACAGTCGCAGTGGGTTTGTTTCTGGAAATCTTCAAGTCCGTTTCTCTACGAAGAAGAAGCTTCTTCTTGCTCGTTCGATGTGAAATGTGGAATCGCCTCTCTTGATTAGGTTAAGTCGCAGTAAGGTTCGTTGCTTTCAATTCCTTTCTCGATCAGTCTTCTTCTTGTTTTATTTCGATCGAGATTGATTTTCGGTGTTCGAAGGATCCTGTTCGATGGCAATATTTTGCTTTGATCTCGACAAAAAGCGTTCGCTCAATTCTGACTTCTGATACTCTCTTCTGATTTTTGATTTGGGTTTTGATTCGTTTCACTTTCATACAACAAGAAGAAAAAATGTTGATTGATCTGCAATTGTATTATATAGTCGATGTTGATTAAGTTTCTTGAGGAATGAGATCAAGATTTTTCTGCTTCAAGGATTCTAGAAAGTGGCAATAGCTCTTCAAGGAGATTCTCATCTGTTTTAATGAACAAACACTCTCTTTTTTGGATATGAACAGTGGATTAGGCCAATTTCACACCATGGTTGGAACAAGTTTATCACCAGAGGCAGTTTCATATGTCACTGCTTTGATGGAAGCATTTCATGATGAACCTGCAAAATTTGAAGAGATTATAATGCTCTTGGAAGATATTAGATATCATAAGTATGTGATTACTTTGTCCCTGTCATGTTTGGCTTTGCTCTTAATTTCCAGTCTCAATCTACACAGTAAAACACAAATGTGAATATTGATGTTACGTGTGTCTCTTTGTAGAGTTGATAAAGCTACTGGCTTTGCAAGAGTGGGGGAACTCTTGAAAGATCACCGGAATCTGCTTATCGGTTTAAATGCCTTTCTTCCAGCTGAGGCTAAGATAACTATCCCTCCCGAGCCTACCCGTACCGATGCTAACAAAGGGTTAGGCCAATTACTTGGAAGAAGAGTATCATCGGAGCTGACTATAGATGATTCGCTTGCATACATTGCTGCTGTGAAGGAAGCGTTTAAAGATGAACCTGAAAAGCATCAGGAGTTTTTCCAGATATTGAAATTTCTTTATACTCATAGGTATGGTTTGTTTACTCTTAATTTCAATCTACAAAACAAAAACGCATTGTGAACTGTTTTCTGTTGTTATTGTTCTCTTTGTAGGGAGAATGAAGCTCTTTGCTATGCAAGGGTGAAGGAACTCATGAAAGATCACCCGAATCTGCTTATTGGTTTCAATGCCTTCCTTCCACCTGATGCTAAGATAACCATCCCTCCCGTGGCTAATAAAGGGCCGGAGCTAACTAGTGAGGATCATTCGCGTTCATACATTGCTGCTGTGAAGGAAGCATTTCATGATGAACCTGCAAAATATCAAGAGTTTTTAAAGTTCATGAGGGATTTTATAACTTCTAGGTTTGAATTGTTTTCTCCCTCTTATGTTTGGTTTCCTCTTAATTTCAAGTCTCAGTCTACACAACACACACACACATGTGCACTGACGCTGTTGTTACTCGTCTCTTTGTAGAGCCGATCTCACTACTACAGTTGCGAGGGTCGAAGAACTCATGAAAGATCACCCGAATCTGCTTCTCGGTTTCAATGTCTTCCTTCCAGCTGAGGCTAAGATAACCATCCCTCCCGTGGCTTTTAAAGAGCCGGAGCTCATGAGTGATGATGATTTACGTCCATACATCGCTGTTCTGATGGAAGCATTTCATGATGAACCTGAAAAATTTGAAGAGCTCAGAAAGATCATGAGTGATTATAGAACTCAAAGGTTTGAACTATTTTCTCCCTCTTATTGTTTGGTTTCCTCTTAATTTCAAATCTCAGTCTACACAACACACACATGTGCACTGACTTTAATGTTATTCGTCTCTTTGTAGAGCCGATTTCACTAGTTCCATTGCGAGGGTGAAAGAACTCATGAAAGATCAGTGGAATCTGTTTCTCGATTTCACTGAGGCTAAGATAACCATCCCTGCTGCGGCTAACAGCGGACCGAAGCTAACTAGTGATGCTGCGTTTTCATACATCACTGCTGTGAAGGAAGCATTTCATGATGAACCTGCACGATATAAAGAGTTTATCAAGCTCCTGAGTGATTCTAGTGCTCATAAGTATGAATTTTTTTCTCCCTCTTATGTTTGGTTTGCTCTTCAATATGAATTGTTTTCTCCCTCTTATGTTTGGTTTGCTCTTCAAGTCTCAATCTACATGAAAATACACACATGTGAAAGCTGATAAAAGTCCACCTGATGCTGCTTCTATGTTTCAGTACACTTTCCAGTATTGAGCAAAAATATCCGAGAGCACACAATTTGGTTGCCAAAGTTAAGGTAGGCACGTTAATATTATATATTGATATATTAATAAGGTAAACTAATCCATGTAAAAGTTGTAAACATAAAATGCAGGAAAGGTTTCAGGGAGATGATAGTCATGTATATAAATCATTCCTCGAGATAGTTAGAATGCTTAGAGAGGGAAACATGTCCAGAGATGAGGTGTACCATGAGGTAGGTTCATGGTGTGCCACTTTTTGTTGTTACACTCTCTTACTTGTTGGTTTCATTTGCTTTTGTTATCTTTTGCAGGTCACTATACTTCTTCAGGATCATCAAGATTTAGTCATGGAGTTTTCCGACTTTTTCAATCAATGATCAATCACCTTCCACCTCTATTACAGATAGTCAAGTGCATCGTAAGAATGTCGCGACTTTGCTTTAGGCCGGTTGAATATAATGTTTGGGTAAAAGAGACGAAAAAGTAGCCTTCTAACGAAAAGATATCGAGAAAAGAGTGTAAAGTTTTTTTAGTAGAGTTTAGTTTGATTCTTACTTCAGAGCGCACAAAACATTTATTGACATGTACATATGCTTCTATTAGACATGAGATTTGGCTCTTCTGCATTTTGGTGGATGTTTTAGTGTAAATGATTCACAATCGTCTCTCTTTCTCGTTCTCCTACTTATTGGACATTTGAATCTTGAAGGCTATATAGTGTAAAATCGACATATCTAATGTTGTAATTGAAGCAAGTGTTCAAAGGTCACCAAAGGCTCATTTTGGGTTTTAGTACTTTCTTGCCTTTTGATAGGCTCATTTTGGGTTTTAGTACTTTCTTCTTGCCTTTTGGTTGGCCATCTCCAATGGTTTACACCATTTTTTACATTAAAATGGTGTTGGATTTTGCTCCAATATAGAATATTCTTTTGGTTATAATAAAATCAAAAGTAAATCCATCAATAATGTCTACCATCAGGTAAAGCTTCATTGTGTTACTATTTGTGTTTTACTTTGAATTTATAAGTATCTTTGTTGCTATGATTTTTTTTTAGTCTTGTTGTTGTGTTATCTAAGTTTGGAATACTTTTGGGATCATCCTGATTTGCTTGTGGAGTTGAATTGCTTTATCATTTATGCCAACTTCTCGAAATTCGTTCGAGACTTAGGGATGAATATGTTATTTCAATCGCTTTACATTTAAAGGAGTGATTTTTTTTTTTTAAGTAGTGATTGTAAATAGGGTTAATTTGTTGAAAAAAAAAAGGGTTGATTGCTTACTAGCAAAAAAAAAATTAATAATTAGGGATCTAACAAAATTAATATATGTTGTCTAATTGTATCCATTAGATTTAGCTTAAATGGTTAGATTTTTTATCATAGATTTTGTTTGGTTATTCAACCTAATTTCCCTTATAAATAAGAGGAATTGTATAACAATATGATTTTTCCTTTAATGATTAGAAACTTGAAAGATCTTAAAAAAATAAAATACAAAACTTTTAGAATTCATAAGACAATATGACAATGGACAATGTTGCTAACCTTTCAACATGCATGACGAGCGGTTCATCTTACACTACGCTAATTCTTTTTCTCTTAAATCTTGTTTATGTTAATTTGATATTCACC